GGTTTCGCAGATTCTAAAGATGATTTGACAAGGGTTGATTCTGACAAATTCTCTCGAATTTTTAGTGAATTTGAGAACTTGCATCAACAAGGTAATCTTAGTGTTGTTTCATTTCAACGAATGATGAAAAATGGAGTGACGAATTGACTAGGAACTTGTTTTAGCAATGGAAATCTGAAATGACTTTCTTTTTGGGGTTCGGTTACGATGTTTTCGATGCAGTTCAGAAACCTAGGGAGCAAGTTGCGGATGCAGAGGCGTTTCTGGATATAGCAAACACGATAATGTCATCGGTGAAGTCTCAGTCTGCTAATGGGGTTTCACCGGCTGAGTTTGTTAATGCTTTGGTTAGTGGGTTTGGTAACCGTTCTTTAGAGATTGATGCTGATGAAACTGCTCCGGTATCTATGAAATGGAAGGATCTTGGTTTAGCTGTTTGTTCGACTGTTTTTGTATCGTGTGGTTGTTCGACAATGTGAGTTTTCGAATTAACCACTTTACATTGTCTTGCTTTTGCTAAAAATGAGCATGTTCTGTTTTGAACAAAGGTTTGTTTGTTTTTGCGATTAGGTTGGGACCTATGGACACTGACTTGAAGCAAAGGAAAAGGGCAGCTTACAGAAAACGTACAAAGCCTGGTGAAGGCGTTCGTCCAGATGAGGTAAGAAATGTTTTTTTGTGCAGACCCCATTTTGTTTCGAGTTTATGAGCACTATCAAGCTGATTCCACTTATGTAGTATCTGCAGTCCCATACTCTTTTCGAGACTGCATATCTTTAACTTTCCTATCCTTATCTAGCTTTGTCGATTGTCGTTTAAGGGTCATTTGCATGGTTACAATGTAGCCTGTGAACACTGTTTAATTGTACAAAAACATAGTGAGTTGGAACCACTCATCTGTTGATTGATTTGCAATGTTTCCGCTGTGAAATATGGTGCGATGCTTTGTCTGGAACTTGCCGCTTTGTTATGTAGTTTGTATTTAGATAAGAAACAAAAGAGCTGATCTGAGTATTTTATCGTAACAACCAGGTAGATGATAAACATTCAGAAGAGAAAACAGATACAGACAAGAATATGGCGATAATTTTTAACATCTTAAAGCAAAAGAAGCGCGTGAGGCTTGAGAGTTTGGTGCTGAACAGGAGATCATTTGCACAGACTGTAGAGAATTTGTTCGCACTTTCTTTCTTGGCAAAAGATGGACGAGTTGAGATCATCGTCGACAAAAGTGGTTCTCATTTTGCCTGTAAGATACCTTTTACAATCCTCTTATGTCTGGTTTTGATATTCGATTTATCTCAATTATATCTGATCTATTATCTACTCTCCAGTGCCGAGAAATGCACCCGCTGCAAACCTAGTGATGTCGGGGGATGTCGTTTATAATCATTTTGTGTTTAGATTTGATTTCAAAGATTGGAAGGTACGAAAATAGAATCTCACTCATTACGTACGCTCGAGTGGTATATTTTGTCCTGAAGATGTCTGATTTTGGTGGTAACGATATATGTCAAACAGCTGATGTCTGAAATGGTGCCAATGGGCGAGGAGCTAATGCCACACAGAGAAATCGCTTCATCTTCTCGTCCCTCTGCATCAGCAGATTTCGCGCAGGATTCTCAGACAACGCCGATAAGAAAACTATCTAGAAACCGAGGTTTGGTTGTACAAGAAGAAACTGTTGTAGAAGATACTCCTGACATCGAAGGCGATGGAACTCGAAGGAGATGCAAGCGGAGACTCACTTGAGAAGAAGATGAGTCTCATCATTGTAAGGAGTATATAGAGTAGAGAATTTAAAAAAAACAAAAAAAAACTCTTGTTCTTGTTTCATTTTGTGACGTTGGTTAGGATTTGTTTTTGTTCATGGTAGGTTCTTAGCATTTAAGTGGCTTTGTCTCAACTCTTGGAGCCTTGACTTCTTTTGTCTACTGAAGAGAGAGATTAAATCTAAATTATTGTTAGTCAAGAAACTATGTAATAATACAAAGCAAAATCAAAACTCTAATTAGGTTAATAATATTCCCTAAGATCATAGTAGCTATTGGATCCTAACACCAAAGAGCATAAACCCTCTTTTCTTCTCCTCTGGTTTAGCTTCTTCAACTTCTAGTTTCGGCATAAAGTTGATTTCTTTTTCATCAGAACTCTCATGAACCGTCTTGTTTGCTTCCTCGGGTACCGCGAAACCGTTGTCCGAAAACGTCTTGTTTGCTTCCTCGGGTACCGCGAAACAGTTGTCCGAAAAGTAATGAACATCGATCATCAAGAAGTTCTTGCTTTGACCCTCTGAGATCTCCACATTGCTCGGTACATCGCAATTGTAAAAGACGATAACATCTTTCTCCTTGAGTTTCTTCTCCTTGACGAAACCATTCCATCCTCTAGTAAAGACAAAGCTCTGGCTACTTCTCCAGTAACAATACCTAAACTTCCACTGTCTCATTGCTCTGTCGTAAAACACAACCTCAACATCTTCCACATCTCCTCCTTTTTCGCCATCTCCTCTCTCGTTTTGATCATCGTTTATGAAAGGTAAATACTTCACTGCATACTTCTTAGGTATCACAAGCCTGTTAAGCTTCCCTACATCGCTCGGTGTCAATTCCTTTTGAAAAAGCTGCGCGCAAGCGAAACACATGTTCGATTCTCCTTCTCCTTGGACTTGTTTTGTTCCAACAACGGGCGTATTCGGGGGAATCCGAGATTGGACTCTGAGATATTCTCTGAACTTATGCGGATAAGAACCGTCTCTGATCATGTTCAACACAGTTTCTGTTGTAAAAGTTGCTTGAAAGACCGGTTCATAGCCAGTAAATTCATTCCAAGGGAAGTTCCGGTGCGAGTTAGCATCAAATTTTCGTAGCTTGATCGATGCGCTATCGTAAGCCGTAGCGGCTTCAGCCTCGGTTTTGAAAGTACCGAGCCAAATCCTTCGATGGTCTACGTATATCTGCGCACCCCAATGTCCGTTCTGCTGTAATACAATACCTTTGTATTTCGTTGTCTTTGTCGCCGTGTTGGACAAGGTAGGTTTTGTTTCATCACTAGGTTTTATGGGTCTCGTGAGACGCAAGACAGAGTCACTTGAACCTGAAGAAGTCTCTGTCTTGTCTTCAATATCCATTGGTACAAACAAATTCAAGAGAAAAAGACAGAGAAAGAGAGATTTTCGCAGGAAAAAAGCACAAAAGAAAATAGAGGAAAAAGGAAGAGAACTTGAAGGGAGAGATTTAAGGGAGAAAAGAAATCAGTAATATGTTTCTTTGTTAGTTTGGTTATAAAAGATGAATCTTTTAGAATGTTACAGTTTCCGTTTTTTGTTGTTGTTTCTAATTTTCTCTGATAATGAAAAATGGAAAATTTACAGAGTAATTAATTACACCAGAAGCTGTTAATGGTAAGTTTCCTTTGTTGATTAGATACTAATTTTCTTCGGTAGAAAATTAAAATATTGCTGGTCAAGTTACAAAATCTTTTATTTATGCAATTTTTTTAACGTGTTGGTTCTTAATTTAGACATTTTAGTACCGAAGCTTATATCATCATCTAAACTCTCATGTGGTTTCTTGTTTTTTCTGGTTACTGTTACATCCAAAACACATTATTGATCAGTGAAATTTAACAATCATCATCTTTTCATTGTTGTAAAAACATTTGACAGTTTCTTCTTACATGCTAAATCTTTGTCATAACATTTCAATACAAGAGTATATAGAACAATCATTTATCCGATAAACCGGAAATCTTATCTCCTGGACCGAGCTAGATTTCTCGGATGTGCACGAAGATAATGTTATCGAATCCTCGACTTATTCTCATCTTCTCATCCGTGTAGCTACAAACACACGAGTGGACATTTGGTTATTCGGTTTATATGAACTTTTGTTGTCAATGAAGAGGAAGATAGAGATATCTTACAGAATTTGAAGCTCGATATTGTTTGTTAATTCGATCGGATATCCAAATGGACCGCCTATAATTGCTGCGTCGTCCATCTTCAATTCATAGGTACTGCTTCCTGATTTCCTGCACATCATTGGAAACCAATCAAGAAAACAAGATCACAAAAATTTGGACTAAATGAATTTGCAAAAGACTTACAAGAATTTGCCTTTCATGGAGAATCTAAATGCCGGAATGATGTTCACTTCAAACTTTATCCTTCCATCTTTCTCGATGATCTGAATCACATTCTCAATTTCGCTATAACAGCAACAAAATACTACTTACGACATTTAAATAAAGTGTTTACCTGTCTTCCCATAAGACCATTTGCTGCATTTTCTAACCAACTATCTGTATACATCTGCAATAACAAAACCCGAAAGATCGCTTATTCAAAGAGATAAAAATTGCTTTGTTCAGATAAAAGGTGAAGTTATCAGAGAATTCACCTGTGAACTCCAAATCATTTGCCAGCTTCCCTCTAAAAGCTCGTAATCATCGTCAGTATTAGACGCAAGAAACTCATCGATAGCCTGTGGTTACTTACACTATATGATCCACTGATTTCATTTCAAAACCAAAAACCGTTTCGATTTTTCAGCTTTCTTGATTACCTCTGCTACTCCTTTGTCTTGAGATATGGTTGCTAACAATTTCTGCCTAGGCACGGTTTCTTTTTGAAGAACAAACGTTGTTCCCTGCGCTACATAGATATCGCTTTATGGATAAAAACGCGACAGATATATCGGTTTATGGATAAAAACGCTATAGTTTTCTTTTTCAGAATCAAGAAACTCATTTACCTTGTTTCCCCTTGAAATCCTAAGGTTTCCGGAAGGCGACAGATACGTAGTATCTAACCAACCTTTTGCCTCATCACCAAGAAGTCTAAAAGGAACTGGATATGGAACTTTAAAAGGAAGGAACTTTAAAGCGAAAGCTGCTCTATCGAAACGAAATAAAACCCGTTTTCCATCTTTGATCGACGCAGCCGCCTGTTCACACACAAAGAAATATAAAAATTCTCAGTCTTTTGATGCAAAGTTATGACACACTTTGTGAAGAAGCTCACCTCAACTTTCAGCTCTCCGATAATGTCAGAGAATTTAACAATGTTCGAAACACGAGGATCGTTTGTTGTCTTCAAGTATACATCTTGAAACACAGTGAACACATCTACTCCTGTAAATGTTCTCTGCGGAGACAATTGGTTTCAATTCTACTTCTTCTTAGATACAATCATCAACACAATGGAGAAGTAACTGACCTGAATCGGAGATGCAGTTCCAGGTCTTGTAGTGAACATTAATCGCCAACGACCTTCGATTAACTCAGAATCTGTCTAAACAATGTGAAATATTCCCAAAAGAAAACCAAAATGAGTCAAAGAACAAAGCACAACAGAGTATTATAATTCTGAAGATGCAAGAAAACATTCATACAGGATTCGAAATGCCCTCTAAACCTTCAAGAACTTTCACTGCAGATTCCACATCCTAACAAGAGAAATATCACTCAAAATCAGATTACAAATCAAGAAGAAACAAAAGCAGAAACATGCAATGCAAGAAAGAGTTATTACTTACATTGAGCTGTCTAGGAGAAGCAGATTTGCCACGACCTTGAATTCCAATCAAAGCATCAATAAGTTTCATCTCAGCATCGTTGAAAGAAGATTGCTGTGTTTGGTCAGTTACAGTAGAAGAAGATAAACAACTGATTCGCAGAGTTCTACAGATTGGTTTCTTGAAAAGATTGTTTCTCTGAGAAGACGACGATGAAATCGAAATCGGAGATGATGGGCATGGACATAAACATGGTAATAACAACATCTCTAAGGTGTAGAATCTAAGAGAAACCTCTGTTTTTGTTTAAAGCTTTTGTTTGAATGGTTTAAAGCTTACATTTTTATTGTGTGGTGTACAACAAAACATGAGACTGATAAAACAATATCCTCACAAAAATGTAATTAGTGGAAGTAAATTTTCTCAACTAACCAAAAAAAAACCAAAAAGGTTGAATCTTTTGTTTTTATATATAATCTTTCACAATTTACAAACCCCAAAGTATGAATCTTTCTTTTGATGCTTGTAGTTTCTTCACAATCTCTTCAATTACAGAACCAAAAAAGTTGAAATCTTTAACCAATGAGAGACCTTTCATAGACTCAAAGACTCAAATTTTGAAATGAAACCAAATTTGTCTGAAATCAGAAAGAATTAGCAACAAGAATAGCTTGTCTACATCTAGCTCTAGCTTGTTCAATCCTTTCACTCAAAGTTTCATCTTTTACAGAAGCTTTAACCATAGCTAAATCCATCTCCATCAATCTCAAAACCCTAAAAAGCTCGGTAACCAATCTCTCTTCAACTTTACCTTCATCTCTCAAAACCTCTGCTTCTTCTCTAGCTCTCTCTGCAACTATCTCACCAGCTTTAACCAAAAGCTCCTTAGAACCAAACTCTCTCGCCATTAAACCTTCAAGCTTCTCTAAAAAATCCATTATTACATACCCTTTTGGTTTCTCCAAGTTAATCTCTTTTGTTCTTTTCCAACCAATCTCGAAATTTGGTGGCTCTGGTTTCACTATTCCTCTCTGTTTTCTGTCTCTTATGATCTCTGATCTTCTTCGTTTCTCTATTGGGAATTTCTCTGCGCTTGTTGTGTTGATTGATTCAGGTGCTGGTGTGAGATCTTGGAAAGGATTATCTTTTGGCTCTGGTTTTGATGAACATTTTGTTATTGTTCGATGAGTGTTATTGTGTACATTGAAGAAGGTAGAGGCTTTTGGGATTGTGTTGTGGAGATTTGTTGAAGAAGAGAGAAATTGAAGAACAAGTGTGGAAGTGGAAGCCATTGATTTTTTTTTTGTGTGTTTTTTTGGAGGGGATTGGAAAAAGATAAGGCTTTTCTCTGTAGTTAACCATCGTGTCGTTTCAGATTAAGACATCATGTCGTTTTTATGTTTACGAATCAAACGGTGTCGTGTGGAGAAGTAAATACCACGTACCACAAAACTTGCTTTCTCTTTCCTACAAGAAATTTTTTTTTTTATAAATTGTTGGAATTCCAAACTTTTGGCTATCGGAGATAATATTTAGATTTTTTGATTTAAAAAAGTAATCCTCTGTACTAAAGAGGGTTTGAATCCGAAATAGAACCAAATCCCTTATGTTACCACTAGACCACCGCACATTAGGTTCTTTAACGAATCTTGCATAGTGATTAAAAAATTATTATAACAGATTATCCATACATTTATGAAAATGTGCAAACCGACATTTTTTCTCTAGTTTGCAGTCTTTTAAAACTCAAAATAAAATTCAATCGACCACACCAATTTCTCAAAGTTGAAGGGAAAGCATGTATAGGCATTTTTTGCAAATCAACCATATATTATTAAAATACATGGGAACAGAAATTTAAGAGTCTAAATTCATTTATCAGAAATTTTAGACCTTCAATAATCAATTTAAGGGGAAAAGGATAGATAATAATAACATATCGTAATATGAAGTTAGTGTAGAGCCTCATTGTTAGTTTGTTTACGTTTATAGATTTTTGGGTCAGATTTAGGCAAATGATCACAACACAAAAGAGTCTAGAAAAACTAATTGGATTCTTAAG